TCAAGCCATGTACCCTGCAGTGCCCAGATTTGGGTCGCCTCAGGCGCGCCATGTGCAAGCAATACTAGCATTCATCGTTAACTACACGCGAAAAGCTACTACTATTCCCAGGCGAGACATTCCGAGAAGGACAAGAGCAGGTTACACCAGATCAGGCGGACCTTTCGCGCAACCCAGATAGTGTAGCTTCCATCCCTGCGAGCCATGCGCGAATCGCCAACCGAGTACCCTACAAATCCATGTTGCCCGAACCCTTTGTTGAACGCAACGCTCATATCGTAATTTGTATAAGAAACCAACGCCGTCCCACTTTGCTGTTCCCTACAGCGGTACTGCCTCTCAAGCAGATGGCGTCGCTGTCGATTGCGTATTCGCCGTTCGCGCACCGCCTCCTGACGCCGATGCCATTGCCTCGCTTTCGATCTGGAGAAGCTGGCTAAGATACTTGAGATCTACGCGGGCTCTCTCGTCACGTTCGAATATCCCACGACAAACCTGCCATTCCCGGCGCGTCATGCGAATCGCCTGAGGCAGAAGAAATTGAACGGTGGCACAATCGATGAACGGCCCAAGTACTTCTCGCGCTATAGCCTCGCCCTGCTGTCGAAGCTTGTTCATATCATCTTCCGAGGGCTCACGCTGTGCATAGCCGTGTGGTGCCTGATTCGGCGGCACCACCTGATGGGCGCCTTGTGTTGGATGCCCGTTGGTAGTAACCGGGGATGGCGAGGCGTGTGCAAAGGGACTCTGGCCCACGGCTGGAGAGAAAGCAGGGCCCGACACTGACGGCTGACGATTGCCTTGGCTAGCTGGGGTTGGGGTCGTCGTATTCGTCTTCGGAGACTGCGCCGGATGCTGGTCAAGATTTCTATAGACGAAAACTGCCAGCAGAATCGGTTCACCGCGACGTTGTGGGATCAGGTTGTCGGAAAAGTTGAGCAGAAATTCTGGCAATCCGCTGTCGCCTGCAGGGACAGGGACGAGATAGGTATCGCGCACATTGCCCACCGCCTTCTGGCCGATAACTGCATACCTCTTCTTGGAACTGAAGTAATCAAAAAGCTTCCGAAATTCGGGTCGCGAGGATTCGGACGAGGGCGACAGCGAGACAACGACGACATCAGTCTTGTCCGAGTACCGTAGGCCACAGAGATATTCAATGGCCTTCTGTTCATCGATACGACCGGCCACGGCCATTCTCTTTGGAATCAGCGTCGACCATGGCAACCCAATGCTCGCGGCTAGGTTAGCCCCTGCTACAAACTTGGCAGTGGCCGGGAAGTCCGCAATCGTGTTCATGGCAAGGCTTCCACGCCATACAACATCGGGCTCAGACTCGTCAGTAGGGGAGTATGGCGGAGAATCCGTCTCGTCCTGTAGCAGCCGGTCAACATCAGCATCGACACCGGGCCCATTGCCGTGGTACACCTGGCCCGATGGGCGTCGTTCTTGCCCTGTGGGCGATTTGACGCTGGAGAAGACCTTATTGATATCAAAGTCTGCCTGTCGCGGCGATTGCTGAGGGCCTTGTGTATCAACATGCAAAGCTGCGTGTGCGGGCAACTCAACCGAGTTTTCTGGGCGTGGGGGCTCAGTTTCTGTCGCGTCGGCCTGTTGGTCGCGAGCGCTGGGGCGACGGAACGCTGGGCGAGCCTCCTCCATCTGAGATTCGGCATCGTTCTCCACCATTTCGTCCCCTTTATGTGTGCGTCGCATGCGAGGACCGTCATCTGTGACCAGAATCGACTGCTTTTCAGACTTGGCCCTCAACTCCGCATTCAGACGTTGCTGTTCCTTCGTGGCCAGCTGATCAGAAGTCATGACAGCTAACATTGGGGGCGACAGTGTGCTATGAAGCAATCCCATGCTGAGCTCTGGATTCGCTTTCAGGTTCGAGACCAAAGTCCTGCACCTATTTGAGTACTGACTAGCGTCGGGGTGACTGTCACGAACAGCTCGCTCAATCTGGATCGCCCATAGCTCGGACAAGGCAGCAGGTGTGGTGTCCTTTGGCACCGTAATGAGCTTGTTCTTCAAAGCTGTTCCGAGGCCAATGGCCACAGCCTTTTGAAGGGCTTGCGCCACAGACCGGTGGTTTGTGTCAGCTACGTCTGCCATCTTCGCGGGAAGGTCAGCAGGCGCAACATATTCGACCCCCTTCGGCTCGGTTCTGGAAACTTTTCGCACCTTGGGTGCGGGTGTCTGTTGACATACATGTTAGTTTTGGTCGTTCCAACTAGACAGCTCTTCGCGGGAACTCACCTTCACATCCTTGTCGCTCTCGTCAGCCTTGCGCTTCGCTGGACCAGGTTTCGAAACCTCCTTTTTGCCCTTGGGTTTCGGAGCAGCCTCCGGCGCAGGTGAGTCTCCAGCCTGGGAGCTCGCGGCCTGCGAAACATCCTCCTTGGAATCGCTGACGCGCTTGGATCCTCGGATCCCCTTCTTCTTTCCAGGCTTCTTCTTCTTCTCGGCAGCCTCGGCTGATTTTCTGTCCCTGTACGCCTTTTGGCGTTCTTCCCAGGGTTTCCTACCTTCGGCTATGCCAGAAAGTAGCTCCTTGTGGTACTCCAGCTGAGGGCGGCATTGCTCGCAGTAGTAGTGCTCGGGGAGATTGTCGTCGGGCATGCCCATGCATACATTGTGCTGCCAGGCGCCACAAGTGTCGCATGCGACCCAGACTTGGTCATCCTCGTCGTCGTCTTGATCGGTGGCGCCGCAAACACAGCGTATTATTTCCTCTTCAGGCTCTTCTTCCTGCTGCTGCTTCTTCTTTCTACCTCGCTTCTTCGGAGCCTCGAGAGGCTGATCGTCGAAAGCTTTCGTATGCTGTCCCTTCGTAGCGCGTACAGAGCGCCGAGGTTCGGATTCTGCGCCTTCAGGTCAGTGATTTCGTTCTACGACGCCCTTCGACGCGCAATGCGATCGCGGGGCAGATTGGAGGGCTGTGCGCCAATGCTTACCGGACATGTCGCTGACGTGAAACGATATGCGTCCCTCTCAGGAGCTCAGTAGCTGGAGGTCACCCTGGCAAGTCGCGAGGGTTATGGGCTTCGAAGCCGGTCTGGACAGACCGAGCGTGGTTTGCGACGGGGGTACTGGAGCTCGCGAGTGATTGCGCCGCGCGGGCCTTTGTCGCGAACGCGAGGACCACTCAGCTTCGCGAGAGGAGCAATTACGCGATTGAACGCGGTCCTAAGTTTTTACGGCTGGATAATACACTATGGGACCTTTCTCGGAGAACTCGTCAACGAAGAAAGAAAACAGAGAAGCCTTGTCGCGCGCGAAGGAAGGGTAAGAGGTCGAGATGGGTGGGAAGCTTCCTACTTCACAATACATGAGAGGGGTTACGTAAGGCTAGTGCGGATGTTGGTCACGTGTACTGCCCGGAGTCGCGGTGAGCTTCAGCCTACGACAATGCCCACCTCGCAGCCTAGGCCCACTTTGAAGTACCTGTACTTTCTGCTCAGACCTAAAGACCTGTTTGTTGGGTTGGTAGTGCGTGCGCTAAAAGTCTCGTCTCTGCTAATCGTCGTACCTACACACCTACCTCACTGGCAGGGGTCAGCTAACGCGTGCATCGATTGCCTGGAGCTTCAAGCTACATACAGCCTTCCCACCATAGACGTCAAACTCCCGCCTCATCGTAACCGTAACGAATCGTCCTTCCCACCCCATCGACGCAGCAGCTCCGCCGAAGGTCCTTATTCAGTCCTGACTCGAACAACACTTCTTCTCTTATTGTCCAGCCTTACACGCGACGACATGTCTAGACGTTACGATTCCCGGGTAAGCCAGGACCGGACCCCCTTCTCAAGCCACAGCCTCCATCATTACGAACGAACACTGACATTATCGGTCATGTAGACGACCATCTTCTCGCCTGAAGGCCGTCTGTATCAAGTCGAGTACGCTCTGGAAGCCATCTCTCACGCCGGAACTGCGATCGGCATCCTTGCACAAGATGGCATCGTCCTTGCTGCCGAGCGAAAGGTGACGTCGAAGCTGCTGGAGCAAGACACGTCGGCTGAGAAGTTGTACACGGTGAACGAGTATGTATCATTGATGCGAACTAGAGCAGCAACTTGCTGAGAAATTATTCCCACAGCAACATGATCTGCGCCGTGGCAGGCATGACGGCTGACGCCAATATCCTGATTAACTACGCACGCCAGGCTGCTCAACGCTACCTCCTCACATACAACGAAGATATCCCGTGTGAACAGCTAGTCCGAAGGCTGTGCGATCTTAAGCAAGGCTATACACAACATGGTGGTCTCCGACCGTTCGGCGTCTCCTTCATTTACGCCGGCTGGGATCCCAAGCGACAGTTCCAGCTGTACCAGAGCAACCCTTCAGGCAACTATGGCGGATGGAAGGCGACCGCTGTTGGTGCCAACCGTGCGAGTGCGGAGAGCTTGCTTAAGCAAGACTACAAGGAGGATTGTAAGCTCACGGATGCGTGTGGTCTGGCCGTGAAGGTTCTTAGCAAGACCATGGATTCCACCAAGCTGAGCGCCGAGAAACGTATGTTGTCCCAGTCTGCTCTCGCTGCTCATTCTTTTCCTGATACTTACACCTGAGTCGTTGTAGTCGAATTTGCCACGGTTGGTCAGACGAGTGACGGAAAGATCTACCACCGTCTCTGGAGTGCCGAGGAGATCAAGCAGCTTCTGAAGGAGCATGACCTGGCGAAGGACGAGAGCGCGGAGGACAAATGAAGAAGCGATAGAGGCTATGAAAGCATGATCTGAACGGGAACGGGCTTATATGACGCTCTCGGGACGAAGTGTACCACCAATACTATACAAATGATCCCCGTATGGAGTCGCGTGTGTGCCTGCGAACAAACAATCCTGAAACCCATTTCCCTGATGCCGCGACGTCAAATAGCGCCGGAACACCAGGCTCCTTGGACAAATCGCTACATTCACTCCGAAGCCTAGCCACTGATCAGCGTCTTGTCTCTTCAAGTGGGGAGCCTAGATAGGCCATCTCAAAGCCTACATCTGGTCGTTGACCCGCACTGTCCTCCTCGTCCCGTACGCGCGACCACCCAGCCTTCGACTCCGTCCCAGGGTACGGGTGTGGCTCATGGCATTCCCTGGCGGTCAAATTTGGCCAATGGCGACGATAGCTCCAGTACGCCACAGTATAACCCAGGATGGACCCAACTCCAACATCGTAAACATCATGCCGGTAATCCTCACATCTGCTAATGGCAATGAGCGCAGCGCCAAGTAGTGGTACCAAGCAGACCAAGGCGCGGCTAAGATCCCGTCCGCCAGACTCGTGACGGAAGACGTGGAGCTGGCCGGCAAAGAACAAACTCAGGAAGCCGAGACCTGCGAATGAGAAGGAAGAATGTCCGGACGGGAAGGATCGCCATCCATCATGCAAGAGGTGATGGGCGGTCTCCGTACAGACGCTGATGGAGACAAGGACATCGACAGGTGTGCCAGGCTCAGGCTTGCATCGCGCCACGAGATCGGGACGTGGGCGGCCCACTGCGTTTTTGACGACATCGGTGATGAAGGAGGTCATGACGAGCGCGATACCAAAGCAGAGGTAGGTCACCTCATGCTTGTGGACGGATGCACGGGTAACGAAATTCCATACGATGAGGACGCTGAGGGGAATGAAAAGTGCATAGATGAAGTTCCACTCTTCATTGTACAATGAGCTGAACGTCTTGCTAGGACCAGGAGCAGGGAGGTATTCAACTTACGGACGCTAACTCTCTCAACCTCGGCATGTGGGAACATGATGTGTAAATCATTGACGAAAAACATGCGGTGGAACGGTTCAACAAAAGCTATGATCTTGGCAAAGAGTGTTAGCTGGTTCGGAGGTTCGGAACCTCAATCTTGTTTACTGACCGCCATCCATGCTGCGAAAAGAATAAAAAAGCCCAGATAATCTGGCGCATGAGATCTCTGGAGAAGGCGGTGTCAGTCTCCGGCAGAGAATGGTGATGATGAGCCCCATACCCTCCAAAATCGACTCAGGGCGGTCACAACGCCTCCGCGCGCACACCCTTCACTATTACCCCAGTTCGGTGGCATCTTGGCAGGCCGAACTCAAGGTTTCCTCCAGGTATGGAAGTGAAGTGCAGACGCAGAATTCCGCCAGGCAGTCGCCGGAGTTTTCTTGGTGATATGAGATACGGGACGGCCTTTGGAGATGGTGCGTTAGCACAGTCGTCGTGAAATGTCGTCTCGTGATGGCCCCGTGACACCAACATGCACCTTGTTCGCCACTGACGCTTAAGTATTAGAGCTTCTGAGCAGCAGCTCTTATCTTATCAGACGACCGATGTTTCGCCGCCATCTCCCTGATCCACCCGATTTTGCATCATCACGGCTTGATCATTGATCAGACACATTCGCTGTTCTACTTTTCTTCAGCGCCGACCGTTGATATCGCGATGTTGCAGTCTACGTACCAACCCTCTCCTAATGTCGCGAACCCACCACCACTTCTCCCCGGCTGGACAGAGCACACGGCACCTAGTGGACACAAGTACTACTACAATACCGAAACGAAGCAGTCGACATACACGAGACCAAGCGCACCTTTGTCGCCAGCGGCACCCGCGCATCCCCTCGGTCCTTGTCCCCACCATCAGCACCAGGCGATACCGAATTTGTCAGATCCCAATGTTGCCAATGCCTATCTCGCGCAACTGAATGCGGCGCAAGGCCCAGTCTCCGGCCATCACAATCGTGGAGGGGGATTTGCCCGAGGTGGCCGAGGCGGCGGCGACTCGCGTCCACGGCCACAACCCAACGATAGGCCGCACACTAAAGCTGCGATACCGGGCTTCGAACCATGGATTCTCGTCACGACCAAGTATGGCCGACGTTTCGCCTACAATCCCGAAAAAAACACCAGCTACTGGCGCATTCCCGAGAAGCTGAAGCCTGGAATATTGGAGCTGGACCAGGCGCGCATTCTCGCAAAGACCGCGCCAGAAATAGATGCCAAAACGAAGGACGGGCCGGTTCCTGCGCCTGGAGCAAGCAATCGACCAGGAGCCCCGGACCCCACTGCCGCAACGGACGAGCCGGAAGACAACGACAGCTCCGAATACGAGGAGGTCGAGGTAACAGATGACGAAGCGCAGGATGAGGACGATGTGGGCGACGACGGGGATCATCGACCAAAGCGCCAAAGAACCGACGATTCGGGCGAGGAGGAGGCTGTAGAGTTCAGCGAAGCCGATATTGCCTTTCAATTGCAAGCAATGGGGGAGGCATACGGTCTCGATCCAGGCGAATATGACGATGGAAATGCAGACGATTGGCCAGACGGAGCGGATGGCGTGCAGTTCTCCGAGGAAGACGCGAGAGCTCTCTTTAAAGATCTCCTGGACGATTACAGTATCAATCCCTACAACACCTGGGACAAATTGATAGAGGAAGGACGTCTAGTGGACGACCCACGGTACACGGTTTTGGACACCATGAAGGCGAGGAAAGAAACATGGCAAGAATGGTCCAAGGACAAGATTCAGGAGCTCAAGGAACAACGAGCCAGGCAGGAGAAGACTGACCCTCGAATCCCATACATGGCCCTGTTACAGGACAAGGCGAACCCGAAGCTCTACTGGCAAGAGTTCAAGAGGAAATACAGGAAGGAGGCGGCGATGACGGATCCCCACATCAAGGACAAGGACCGAGAGAAGTGGTACCGAGAGCACATCAACCGGCTCAAGATGCCCCAAGCGACACTTAAAGCGGACCTCGCCACGGCGCTCAAGGCTCTGCCCGTTTCTGTTCTCAACAACAAATCCAGCATGGCGAAACTGCCATCACAACTCCTCGTGGACATTCGGTACATCTCACTCCCACCCGCGGTGCGTGATCCGCTCATCAAGACGTTTATTCAAACCGCCGAGCCAGCCCCCGAAGGTGGAGAGGTTACTGCAGAAGACGAGGCCACGAAGAAGGCCAGGGACGCAAAGCAGCGTCGCGAAGCTGCCTTACGTAACCACGAGCAGAGAGTTGCCGAGCAGAAACGACAGCAGCAGCGCAGCTTAGAGATGGGCAAAGCCAGGCTGCGTGAGGAGGAACGCGAGATCGAACGAGCAATGCAGATTGGAAAGGAGGGTCTCCACGCACAGCTAGCCACGATGCAGAAGAAGACTGTTGAGGAGGAAACAGAGCCTTAAGAGTAAAGCATATGCTATTAGCTGCCGTCATACAATTCCAGATATGAGCGGCCTCAAAGGGCATGTCATTCAGTAAAACGCAACAGGTGTGCGATGTCGCCGAACTAGTCAGGTTCGATGGCTTCGCACAGCAGCTGTCTTAATGGTGCCTACTAAAATCACATTCAATATAGGTCTAAGTAGAAATGCTGACGCGGGGGGCGTCCTGTACTACACACCCACACACATGATGGGCCACGAAGAAAGCGGTCTGTCGGGATGTTGGTCGGCATTTTAAGGCGGTTACGCGTTCTTTTCGTCTCATGCCAGCTGTCGGGCACTTTTGATTCGGCCATCGGTGTTTCTGAGGCAGCAAAGCTCATGCCGGCGCATGCCATCTGGATGCAGACTTTATGCTGGTGCTTCTGCTGTGGTGGTGAACCGCAAAACCCCAACCGTGTCCGTGTCGATCACAGGCGTCGGAGACGTGTTAAAGGGCTGGGACCTGCCGCCTTCCAAGACCAGCATCTCTTCCGTTGCATTTATGCATGGCCCAAATCTCTCGACGCGAGAAATGGCATTGTCATACGTTCTGGTTGCTTCCAGCCTCACCGCAATGCAAGGTAGTCATCCCTGGGGAAAGCCCTGCTCCCAGCTGCTTGAAGCTAGAAGATGCCACACCTGTTCATACTCACATATTGCTCAGCATACACAGTAAACGCCTTCAAGATGCCAGGATGGTATCACGAAGAGCAGGGCTCTGATGGGCCAAACTCAGGTGGTGGCTCCGACAGCTCCGGCTCCCAGAGCTTATCCGATATCATGTCATCATCATCGTCGCAGTTCGGATTTGCGGGCTTCGATGTCGAACGTGCTTCTTATCTGCGAACGGTACACGGAATCCTCGCCTTGGTTGCATTCGTTGCCCTCTTCCCACTCGGAGCCGTTCTGATGAGGCTGGTGCCGGGGCGCGTGTCGATATGGTTTCACGCCATCACACAATTGGCCGCTCTAGCCTTGTTCATCGCCTCGATTGGCTTAGGTGCCTACATTGTAAATTTGGTTCAGGATGGAGGGTTTCCCCTTGTAAGTGAATCAGTTGCTGAGGACATTCACGGTGAACGCACGTGCCTGACTCTGGCAGCTCGACGACGACCTGGTGGCCGCCCACGCTGGTATCGGGAGTGCGCTGGGCGTAGTCTTCATTTTGATGCCAATCATGGGCTACTTGCATCATCGTTACTTCAAGAAAGTTGGGCGCCGAACCGGCTGGTCCTACCTACATTTAGCAGGCGGAAGAGTGGGGATCACGCTTGGCATCATCAACGGAGGCATTGGGCTGGCGATTGCAGGAGCAGAGACCAGGTTCAAAGTTGCATATGGCATCGTGGCCGGCATCGTTTGGGTCGCGTGGATGGCCACGGCGACCATCAGCGAAGCGCGGCGCAACCTTGGGAGGAAGCGTACTGGCAGTGAGCCAAAGTATGGCCGTACAGGGCGGGCTCGTGAACACGAGGCATCTTGAAACATTTCGAGTTCGAATCTTCAACTTCATTCACGGCTCCGCAAAGAGCCGGTCCGCGTGCTGTTCAATCAGACCCGCCTGTTCTGCCACCATCCCTCGGGTCAGCTCTCCGTCCTCGGATATATAGGTGGTGATCAGATCGGAAGACACCCATTCAAAATATACATTTTTGATCGCGACCCGGCCTGAGATATCATTCTCTGTCCCCTGGCCCCATGCTCTCTTTAGTTCTGCCACATCATTTTCCTCTGCGTGGCCAGGCACCGCGAATGGAAGTATCTTCTCTCGCTCCGAAATCACAACCACTTGCACGCCGGGTGAAACATGTCGAGCGCTGAGGACGGCGGGCAAGGAGCCAGTCTTGTGAAGACGTCTCTCTCTGCTGATGAGTCAGCGCGAGAGCACATGTCGACTCCCTGGCTTGCAATGGCGGCTGATGCATCAGAGTATACGGTGACGCAGACGGCATTGCGCTGTGCTTTGTTGGTTCCTGAGCGCAGGCGGCTAATCTGGAGGCCATTTGCGCGCCTTCAAAAAGCGGCCGCGACTCCAGCACGCGAAGGTCAAGAGAAACATCCGTCTCCTGGATGATCATCTGTAGCGACTCAAATATGGTGGAGCTCGATGACAGAGTGAGGATCTTGACTGGGCTCCTTGTATCGGGCTGGGCTCTTTCGAGCACCGACTGAAGAGAATTCGCGAAGGACCCAATAGTGGCTGCTCGTGCTTCGGAATATTGGTCGAGCTGTCGTGCGATAGAATGCAAGAGAGTAGCTTCAACCACGCCACTCCCGAATCGCTGGACCTCTCTCTCGACAATCGTAAGAGCACGGATGAGAACATTCAATATGGCGGCACCCATGCTTTCGCGGCCATTCTTCCACAGGTGCCAGGCCGCGAATCTCGCATTCCGCCACCAGACATCAATGTTCTCGCCATGACCGAGGGCAACGATGTCCTGAAACACTCTGAGTGCTCTTCCGGCCAGCTGCCTTGCACCGCTGCTATGGTCGTCTTGAAGCATAAGCAGGCCTTCTCGCAACATCTTGCCCCTCTCTTCGCCTAAGTCCATCTCGAACCAGACGCGTCGTAGGCTTTTCGTAAGGAACGGCACGCCTCCAAACGACTCATCATCCGTGACGTCTAGGGGATCATGCCAAGTCCAGCCTTCGTTCTCCCAATCGAGCTGAATGCAAGACTCATCTCGGCTATCCTTGAGATGGAAAGCAAAAGGATGGACCGTCCATATGCGACCGACCCCCTCGTCTGTAAACGAGTACGGCTTTCCCTGACGAAAGAGGCTCAGGTGCGCTGGCGTCAATGTTGTCTCTTCCTTGATCTCACGCCAAACAGCGGCGACGGGCGATGCATCGGTCTCCTCGATGCTGCCAGCAATGGGTCCCAGTCGATGCCTATGTGATGGGACTTCAGTGAGCTGGTCGTCCAGCTGAAACCTCAAGAGAGAGACGCTCACTGGTAAGCGCGCACTTTGGCGCTTCGTCTGAAGAGGGCGACTTGCGGTTTCGCTGAGGCGGAGAATCTGAATAGGAAGCACGAAGCGACCGACCGTGCAATCAGTCCTGCCTTTGCGGGGGGCGACATGGTCATTACTGGACTTTGATCACAATATGCATTTCTGTAGATGACGTGGAGCGCGAATGCGATGATACTGTCGGAGTTCAACCACTGAAGTCATCAGCCACAGCTGTGACGACACAATGCACCTTTAGTGTTGAAATGACCCGCCACACGGATGAACCCTGACACACGTTTTCACGACTCCTCGATGTACGCATTGCTTGCCCAATGCCAACAGGCCCCTTCACGATTCCATGTTGTCATGTCAGCTGCAAGTTTAGTATCTCCAGTTGGGGAAATGAAAATGCTCCTTTGATGAAGTAACCCTAAGTTTTAAAAACAAAATCTCATAATGCCTGACTCCCGTATTTTGGCTGCACCTGGGCAACCCATACCAATCAATACCATGATCAATCGACGCGCATCTAACCTGCCATGATTGTCGGATGGACGTCTTTTCACCACCGCCAGGTTCTATTTGAATTGAAAAGAAAAAATCCGCGCCCTCATATGACCCTAGTGCCTCTTGTGCCAAGAAATAATTATTGTGTTCGTAATATCAGACCGAGCTTGTCTCGGACTTGGACTGCGAAGGGAAGATGGAATCAACAATCTCGCCGGACCTCACGGCAAGCACGGAAAGCAAACTGTCGCTCAGCTGAAGGCGGTCATTAGCATACTTGAAAAAAAAACGAATCGGAAATTGCGAACTTACGCCGTGGGTGGCCTCGCAGCAGCCCTGCAGCCAAACACCAGCATCAGGGGCAATGGCGCCAGGCGCATAGCGGATCTTGTAGTCGCGTCCGACTTCGAGCTTCCTCGAACCAGAGTCGACGTTACCCTCGGAGATCTCCCATCCATCGACCTGCTCACGCGGGCCGGAGCTCACGGGCTGAGTCTCGGGAAGAAGGTTCCAGCTGTCGCGCAGCATGTCAACGTGTGCATTGCGCTGGTAGCCGGTAGCAGCAATGATGAGGTCGACATCGAGAATTTCCTCACTGCTAGGCCCCTGTTCAAGGAACTCATCAGTGATGCCGCTCTGGTTGAAGCTGTCCTCGACACGTCGCACGTGCAACTGAAGCCTGTCCGACTCGTGGTTGCCCTCGTTGACGCTGACGATGCTCCTTCCATTGAGGATGCGGTGAGGCCACTGGCGCTCATCATCGCCGTACTCGCGCTTCTGGTCGTACATGACTTCGTAAAGATGCTCAATGAGTTCGAGGCGAACGACGCCATAGTTAGTCGCCTTGGCGTCCTTGATCAGCGCACGGCGGTATTGTTGGGAGCGAGGGTACAGGGAGTCTGTGTAGGAGGGGTTGAAGATCGAGTTGACGCTGCGACAGTGTCCATTAGCCAATCGAACGGGACGGAGGGCTAGTGTGCTGTGCATGGAACTTACAAGGGAGAGTCGTCGCTCGGCTTCAGGAACTCGGAGCGCATGACGAGCCACGTCTTTGAGTTGGGATACAGTTTCTGAACATTGTTGAAGATCTCGGCAGCGCTCTGGCCAGCACCGACAACGGCGACGCGGTAGGGCGCCTGAGTATTCTTGAGAATCTTGGGCACCTGGTGAGCGTACTGTGAGGAGTGAATGACCTTGGGGCTAGCAGCGGGAAGGCTCTTCGGGATCAGAGGCCGTCCACCAGCGGCGATGAGAACATTCCTCGCTTGGACAGTGGTGATCTGGCCTGTTTTGGCATTGCGTGACTTGACGGTGAAAGTCTTGACAGCACCCTCGGGCTGAGGGTTGGGCGACACCGACACGACCTCACGCTGGTATTGCACAACGTCGTCAAAGTGAGAGGCGCACCAACGGAGGTAATCTTCATACTCGACTCGCGAGGGCAGGAAGGTTCCCAGGTTGGTGAACTCAACAAGACGGCCAGCGTGTTGAAGGTAGTTCAAAAAGGTAAAGTGTGAGCGGGGGTCGCGCAGCGTAGCCATGTCCTTAATGAACGAAATCTGCATCTTGGCTCCGGGAAGCAGCATGCCGGCATGCCACGCGAAACGAGGTTGCTTCTCGAGGAAGAGGACCTTGGGCTTTTCAGTGGCGTTGGGAACAAGTGGGTTGCCGGCGGCAAGGTTGTCGTGCATGGCGACAGGGACGCCAGACTAGCGGGGCCGAAAGCCAACGCACACCAGGTCATGAAGCTCACTGGGGTCGGTGGGCTGAAGGTTTGACTTGAGGGCGCGAGAGGATTGTGTGGGAGCAGTGTGGCCATTACCATTGCTGGTGCCGTTGAAACCGTTCAGGGCGGTGCTGTTCTGTACGGCACCGCCATTGCTGAAAGCCGAGAAGCTCTGGATGGCTTCAGAGGCCTCTGTGGTGCTCATGGGCGTATCGAGATGAGGGGACATGTTGAGCGGGAATTAACGACAAATGTGGCCGGTGGTGCGGGTCGAACGGCGTCTCCGGTGATTTGGCAGGGAAGTTCAAGCTAGCTTCCTGTCGTCGCAACGAATGACAAAAGCTTCCAGGCTGTGGGAGGACTGCCAACGAACTTATGCGGAATCGAATAATGTGCTGATAGGCGCCCAATACTCGAATAGACGACTCAAGGTTGGTTATTCGACAAGAAGTATTGGCCGAATGCGCGAGGTAGCAAAGTTCCAGACGCTCAGGAGGGTTGTCTGGTGACGTAGATGAAGTGGGTAGAATGGGGTAGTCAGGTATGTGTGAATGTCAGCGACCGGTAGCAATGCTAAGGACGAGGAGGGAGGGAAGAAAACAGAAGGATCAAAAAAAAAAACGGACGGGCGACCTGAGGGGTAATATGTAGTGCAGGCAACTGACGAAGACACAATAGAGTCATCTTAAGTTTCACCACCATGGGGAGACGAGGGTCGCCGTCGCTGGCGGGGGGGAGGGGTGTGGAGGCATCGCACGAGGTTCATCATGGACACCGTCGGAGTTGCGACGACAAGCCGAGCGCATTAGGACAGCCGATCCGCATGGCATCTTTTTTTTTTTCCCCTTCCTTGCCTCCTCTCTCTCTTCTCCTGTTCGGTCTACTCACAGTATGACTGCACTCACACCCGTGCCCACACCCCCCCTTGTTGTTCGTCGGGACGACATGTCAGGCTAATGGGCGCACAGCTGCAGCGTCTCATCGCCATGAGGCAGGTGGTGTGCAGAAGACGACCCAGATGCAGTTGAGCTCGGCTTCAGATGCCCTCCTTTGACGTGGTGAGGGGCGGCAGGGTTTCCGTCGTCGTTCGAGTAGCGCTCAGGACAGGGGGCCTTCAGGGACCACTGTACGGCAGTAAGGAGCGATGTCCGGGTAGTCCCTGCTTGGCAGCTGGCCATTGGGTAATGGCGAGGCTTGTGAGAAAAAAGTAAGGGTCGATGTTCGGCATGTGCAGTGGATCGGGAGAAGATCAGTGCTTGTGCTGAGTCCCGAAAGCGACGATGGTGTGTGTGTGTGTGGCTCGTCTGTTGTAGGTAGGGCCTTGTTCCTAGGTAGTACGCCCCCCAATACGTAGCGGTCTACACACGCACACAATTGCTATGCTGGATGACGTTGCGGCCGTCTTAATATTGCTGTGATCGCCTCGGCGGCGGCCAAGTGTGGCTGGGCCTTGCCAAGGGCAGAAGGCGATAGCAATCAAGCATCAGCTCTCGATGGTATGGTACATACAGAAGAGTTTGAAGCACCCTCAGCAGTAGTCCTCGGTCGTGTTCGGTTCGGTAAGTGGGAAGAGGCAATTACGGAGCGCTCCTCCTTCTGCTGCTCCTCCTCGGCGCCAGCGAGGCCTGGAGCATGCTGCGGGTAGTCAAGGGCTTGAAGAATCTGCAAGCGAGGCCCGTGATGCCATGTTGAGGCTGGATTGCAGGGGCCCCTTGAACAGATCCGCCGCGAACTCGAATTCGGGGTTATCTTCGGATCTGATAAGATCCAATCCAGGGTCTGACGCGGGGGCTGGCTGTGGTCTCACGGGCCCCGTTGAGCTGGCCTCCATGTCGTTGTCGTGGCCGGAGACGGGATGGAATGATCGGCGGGATTGGAAGCTGGGCCAGAAAAGAAGAGGTGGGGCAGAGGGGAAACTAGAGAATCAGAGGGACCACATAGAACAAGAGCCCAAGACGCACCGGTCAGCTCCGAGAGCGGAGAGTAGTATCCAGGACTGGGCACAAGCGCGAGGATGTGCCGGAAAAGACCTGAATGAGGCATGGTCTTCGTGGGGCTCGTAGGGTGACGAGACGATGAGATGACGAGGTGACGATGTGCTTGCTCGCGGTGGAAAGTGGTTCGGGTGCCACGAACCCCATGATTGGATGGAGAGTGGATCAAGTGGGGGTGAGGGAATTTTATCTGATGATCTGATAAGATCAGAGGCGCGAGAGCTGGCAAGGATCAGACGGCACAGGCCAGTCAGTGGGTAAGACCTCGGCCGATGGGATCTTCCCTTTCGCCCTTGACCGCAGTGCAAACTCGGAGCCGTCAAGCCAGTTTCATCATGGGCCGGCAAGAGTGTGAAAACTCTGATCCATGCCACCTGCCCCTTCGCCCAGGCATCGTGCCAGTTGCTCCTTCTCTTCGTCTCGGTCCGTTCGCCGCGTTCTCTAGGTACTTACCTACCTGCCTCTGTTACCCCCCCCCCCGACCAGGCCTGATCATCCCACCGCCACGCACTACCGTAATTGACTTTGAACTGTTCATTCCGACTAGATGCCCAGTTGCTCTTACCTTACTGCGAGGGTTCAGATCCGAACACCATCAACACCCGACGTTGACTTCATTGCGGTGCCTACCTTGAATCAGAGAGGAGAGTAATCTCATCCGATGCCACTACGCTCTTGGCACATACTCCATCAAGTTCCCAGCACTGCAGTTGAATGAGCTGGTGTACTTCTTTCGCTTCGTCCCGCATTGGGCCACAGGATTGAGTTTGGCTCTGCGTCTTTCGATCGACCGCTCCACGGCCCCAAGGCTGCTAGGGTCTGGGCCAGACGACGTTTTCGCTTCCATCGCCGCAGTTCTTGTCATCGCAGTTGTTCATACCCTACTTAATGGACCCAACGACATCCGCTCTCCTCTTCCGCCGCGCTCCGCCCCCCACTTGCCCACCACCAGGCTCGAGTCTTGGATGGCACCTTGGCCGATTTGAGCAGTTCAACCGGCGTTATGCACCCGCATCCTGTCTACTGCAGAGTGGGATGGCCGTGGTGACCACCCCACCCTCTCTCTTTTCTTCAAGTCACATGCAGCCATCACTTCCAGCCTTCCGGGTTCCATGCTCCCATATCACGTATTCCAGAACCCGTCATGGCGCCATCCCTTCTCGTCTCTTGTGGTCACATCTCATGTTCCGACGCCTACGACGAGCTTGTTTCCTGCCTCCTGCAGTTCTTCATCAGCGGCCCATGAGAACCTGTCACTTGGCACACACTGGCCCGTCCCACGAGGAATCTGGACGCCCCCCCCCCCCGAGTCAGGACCCTTGGTAATAACGGCAACTATTTCCTCGTTAAGGCGCAAAAACCTGGTCCCCTTCATCGCCTACTGTACGAGGTTTCCCAATAGTTGCCTCAAATGAGGGTTGATGGACACTCCCCTCATTACCCTGGCGCTTGTCTCGGCACCCGACCTCCGCGGTCATTGAGCTGCTCGGACATCGGAGCCCGAGACCCAGTGTCCTCTCTGCTCCAGTGGGCTAGTTCCTTGCCCTGACCATATGGCAAAGTACGCACTTTGCAATGAGGGGGTCTCAAGTCGGCTGAAGCATCAAGCGATGACCTATAAGCTGGTAACAGGTCGAAAGCCGACTTTCTTACCTAATCACATTTCACCTCCTGTTGTGCCTCAAGACAGTTGCTCCCAGTGAAGCCAAGCAAATCTGTCTAACCAGAGCTCAACGCACATCTGGCAGCTGCGCCCTTAGAAGTCTTGAGAGGCTTCCTGACACATGTTTTGTTCCGACTGCCCTGACCAGCCACACCCCCCGGTTGATGACGACATAGATCGCCCGAGTGGCAAGCCTCGTTGGTTACCCAGCAATCGCGTCCCTCAACAGACGGTGGTTGCCCCTCTCAGCCTTACGACCCTGCGTCAAGGAGATTACTGACTGGCGTGTCCGCTGCTCAGGCATGAGCCTATCTGTCGTTTGATTGTACACCCTGGCCTTGAAGTAAGTCTTTTAACTCTATCTTGGCCCTGTCCACACGGTAAAATCTGCTTTCCTCCGGACCAGAAGCGCGACTAAGTAGTCATGTATCTGAAGCCACAATCGTTAAGCTCGACCGCCGGATGAGCTTCGTCCCTTGCACCCAACCCGCGGGACGGCACGAAACGCAGTTCTGTTAGCCGCCTGATGCGTCTTCTCATACAATTCTCTTATAGACTTTGACACGGGTTCGAATCCTCGTCGCCACAGGCCTGACCTCCCCTTTCGATCAGGGACGGCACACGGTCTGCGTTGCATTGCAGGAACCCCCTTCTACAACAAGGTCGACGAATCAACGATCATTGATTGCATCATCTACGTCGACACTCAAGCGTCTCCAGCGGCAACGTCGAGCTCTTCGCGCGGTTTTATCCCCAGGTTGGTCCACGCTGAGTAATCGCTGGCCTGTGAGAGGCTGACGAGTCTCCAACGTCGAGCGTCCTACCCTGTTAGATGATGCGCATGTGTTCACCCCAGCACATCGAGCTTGCAGCTAAGCCCTGAATCTGTCAATCACCTCAAACATAATTGGCTCCCACGACGAGTCGCTCGCCTTGACCTCGTTGCACAAAGCTGGTACCTGGTCCAATCTCTACAGATCTGGCGCCACTTTCGCTGTGTTAGCTTTCCTAGGCTCTCCCCCGCTATCACGGCACCGCGATCTACTCTGCTTGACACTTTGCAGAAATGCGAAAGCGTGATCCGCGTTACATACAATCCTTGGCTCTCACCTACCAGGTCGGTTTCGCTCGACACATCACATGAAGCCCACGGCATTATAACCTTCCCGGCTACACCAGTGCCGCTCGGATTTTAGTGATTGCCATATCTTTTCAGGGACAGTCTTCAAGCAGTCCAACATGTCGAACCAAGAGACCGGTTCGATGGCATCTCAGTCCAGCTCCGCACTATCCATATCAAATCATCCACCTGAAAGACTGCCCGGGCCATATCTTCTCCACGAGCTCGTTGCGCAACACTCAAAACTTGGTCTTCCTTCTGTTTCCTCTCTTTGTCATCTCGGCCATTTGTCTGAAGTATCCTACTCAGAACTGCACCAAGCTGCAGACCGACTAGCTACTAAGGTAGTTGCCTCGCGCGGCTTGTCTCCTCAGAGCGAGTTTATCGTCCCCGTCCTGATTCCACAGAGCACACAACTGTACATCGCCCTGTTAGCCATCTTGAAAGCTGGCGGCGCCTTTTGTCCCCTGAATCTCGACGCACCACCCGAGAGAATCAAGTTCATATTGCAGGATGTTGGTGCTAGGGTTGTGCTGACGACACCGGACCTGGCCCCCAAATTCGCTGGGGATGGGCTCGGTGTCTCTCTGATCACTTTGACGGACACCAACAATGTTTTTGACTTGGTCACGGATTTCTCAGTCGCTGAGGAAGAAACACCTACAATCAAGCCCCTAGAGCCCCAGAGTTTGGCATATGTCATGTACACATCAGGCTCTACAGGAACTCCCAAGGGAGTAGGCGTTACTCACGATGCCGCAACGCAAAGTCTACTCGCTCACGACCGCCATATTCCAGAGTTTGAGAGGTTCTTGCAATTTGCCTCGCCAACTTTCGACGTGTCTGTCTTCGAAATATTCTTTCCCTTGTTTCGAGGCTGTACGTTGGTGACCTGTGACAGGTCTAAGATGCTGGATGACCTCCCGGGTGTCATGACAGCAATGCGTGTTGACGCATGCGAGCTGACACCCACCGTTGCTGGAAGCCTCCTTCGAACCAGAGCAAGCGTACCCTCGCTGAAGCTGCTGCTCACGATCGGAGAAATGTTGACGCCTCGGGTTGTGAAAGAGTTCGGAGGAGACTCAACTTCACCGAGTATACTTTGGGGAATGTATGGACCGACAGAAGCAGCTATTCACTGGTCAGCAGCCCGTCGTATCACTTTTGGTTCTTTGACTGATGCTTCGCTAGTACATTACAAACTGCTTTCTCGGCAGATTCATCGCCCCGCGTAATAGGAGTTCCGTTCGATACGGTTTCATGTTTCGTCATTGAGATACCGCCTGACGACTCTAGCTTTTCTTTCACCGTATCACCAATCGGCCAAATTGGCGAGTTGGTGGTGGGTGGCCATCAGCTTGCAAGGAACTATCTGAACCGGCCCGAACAAACTGATGCGGCCTTCATAGACTCTCCCTACGGCCGTCTATATCGCACAGGAGACAAAGCTCGCATGCAATCAGATGGCACACTCGAGTGTTTTGGCCGGATTTCTGACGATCAAGTCAAGCTCCGTGGCCAGCGAATCGAGCTTGGTGAGGTTGAGCAGGCAGCCATACGAGACTCACAATGCCGTGACGCTATTGCCATGGTTGTCGACAACATCCTGGTTATCTGTTGTGTTCTCGAAGTCAAAGACTCATCTAAGGAATTGGCCTTTGAATCGATTCTGCAAACTTGCAGGCAATGGCTCCCGACGTTTATGATCCCTGGAGATGTGATCATCATCAACGAGTTTCCGCGGCTGGCTTCGGGCAAGATTGATCGCCATCAGATGAGGCGTCAGTACCAAGCCAACAAGAACACCAACACAACTGTGACGCAGAACGACCTGGGTCCTCTGGAAAAAAAGATCATGTCAGCGATTTCGGATTTTGTCGGGTCTCCCGTGACTCTTCTGGATGTTCTGTCAACACATGGCATTGATTCCCTCCAGGCAATTCAACTAGCGTCGGGCTGCGGAAGGAAGGTCTCCAAACATCTCCACTTGATGTGGTCAGCTCTAGGACAATCTCCACTTTGTGTACTAAAGTCCGAGCTGTGGACAATACGACTCCAAGACAGCATCATATCAAGCAGCCGCCGGCTGTGGACCAGATTTTGGCATCGAACGTCACCCTTCAAAGTATGGAGTCCCAGATCGAAGGATTTGACTGGGGTACCCGGCTCCAAAGTTCTATGCGGTTTGAGACATCCGCCAACATCAGTGCGTACAAAAATCTGCTCGAATTGGAATTTCCGGCTTCATGCTCTCTCGGGAAAATAAGAAATTGCATGAAACAAATGGTGCGGCAAAACGACATTCTCCGATCGGGTTTTGTTGAGACTGGGGGTAGCTTTGTGCGTGTGATATTCAAATCACTCCCAAAGTCCCATATCCAGACCGTAGATCAGTTTACGTTGTCCGCGCAACGGACTGCGGATGACTATGAGAGAATCTGGCTTCGCCCTTTCCAGGCGCAGGTTGCAACCTCCACGGCCGGAGCTCCCCCACGCCTTCTCCTGCGTATGCATCACGCCATTTACGACGGCTGGACCGTCGACCTCATGATTCAAGACTTGTCATCCATTCTTGCCGGTCAAGAAGCAGGACTTCGACCTCAATTCGGACAAGTAACAGCATTCATCAACTCGACTCCGCTGATAGACCTGGATATTTCTAGAGCATTTTGGGCAGAGCAGCTGTTTGACTGGCAAAAGCCAAGTTTCCCACGCCTCATGAGCCGACCACCTGATTCCTCAGAGCCTCAATCAATGTCGCGTACGCTGACGTTGTCGGAAGGGGACCTGAGAGAAGCGGCCAAGAAGCTCGGCTTTCATTGCCAGGTATTTTTCCAAGCTGCTATATCGTTGATCTGGGGCGCAATACTGGGAACCTCGGACGTCGTCATTGGTTGCGTCTCATCAGGCAGGACTCTCCCCGTCGAAGGCATTGAGGATGTCATGGGGCCCTGCATATCTACATTGCCTTTACGAACTGACCTCAAGGCTCTAAGAACTGTTGAGGATCTGCTAAGGAACACGCAAAGGACGAATCGAAGATCTCTGCGGCACGGCATTTTGCCCTTGTCCGAAATTTGCAGGGCTGCCAGTATACAACCTGGTGATGGCTTGTATGATGTACTCTTTGTCTATCAACAATCGCTCACTAGTCACCTACGACACGCATCTCCGATTCGAGAAATATCTCACCGCGACTTCCTAGAGACAAAAGTCTTGATCGAGATCGAACCTGTCCTGGGCAGTTTCAAGTGCCATATCACATATCATGCTGACGCCATGTCCCATGATTTCGCAACTCTCTTCCTCGACCAGATCGACTGCATGACTCGGACTCTCCACGTCAATCCAACCGCGCTGTTACATGATGTCTCGCAGTGCATGCCGCCTGCCCTGGCATCTATCTACAACTTAGAACCAGTGACATTGGCAGATAGCCCTGACCTAGCGACATGCTTCGAACGTTCAGCATCGGCGGCGCCTGATGCACAAGCGATTTGCTTTGCCAAATCCATCACCCCATCAAGCCTTGATTGCGTAACCATGTCTTACCAGGAGCTCAATGACCTGTCGAATCGTATTGCATGGTACTTGCGTAGTCAGGGAGTACTCGAAGGCGACACAGTCGCCATCGTGATGGAGAAGTCGGTCTTGCTTTATGCCACGATCCTGGGGACTTTGAAGGCTGGGGCTGCCTACTTGCCTCTTCTGCCTTCCACACCGGCCAGCAGACTGCAATTAATTCTTTCTCAGGCCTCGACTACTGTCTGTTTGGTCGATCAGCAGGCTATTGATTTAGTGGTAGCCTTCGTGGGCTGCCCGCTCTATGACATGCAGTCGACGCCACTGTCAAAATTTCCCACACATAACCCGCCTCGACAAGTTCAGTCCTCTCGTCCGGCATATGTCATTTACACCTCTGGGACGACCGGTGTTCCTAAAGGTATTGTGGTGACCCAGCTTAATATCACAAGCAATCTTGATGTTCTATCCCGTATATACCCCCACGACATGACAAGTCGCTTTCTGCAACTCTGTTCCCAAGCGTTCGATGTCTCGGTGTCTGAGATATTTTTTGCGTGGAAAACAGGTGCCTGCTTGTGCGCGGGTTCGAACGACACTCTCTTCGCAGATCTGGAGCAATCCATACGCTCACTTGGCTGCACACATCTCAGCTTGACACCCACTGTGGCGTCGCTCATTAGCCCATCCCACGTTCCGAAGGTTCGGTTTCTGGTCACCGCCGGCGAACCAATGACTTCAGCTGTTTCGGAGTCATGGGGCGAGTACCTCTACCAAGGTAAAACATGAAGCGGCAGCCCCTCACAACTCAACTAACAAGTGACAGGCTACGGTCCAGCTGAGACAACGAATATTTGCACAGTCAAGAAAATGACACAAGGCGACTACATTAACCACCTCGGGTTTGCATTTGAAAATGTCTCTGCTTTTGTCCTTTCAACAGATTCGATGTCAAGCGTTCCCCGTGGGTGCTTCGGCGAGTTCTGTTTTGGCGGCGATCAAGTTGCACAGGGTTACATTGATCTCCCTGAGACCACTAGCTCGAAGTTCGTCAACCACCCCGAGTTCGGCCGCATCTATCGCTCTGGAGACATGGGTCGGATGCTACCTGACGGGTCCTGCTCGTGACGGGGCGTCTGGACGGCCAGGTGAAATTAAGGGGCCAACGCATCGAAACCGGAGAAATCGACAGTATTGTGACAGCAGCCACGGAAGTTCTCTCGTGTACGTCACTGATCCTGCAGCCTACTGGATCGAGCAGCGAACAGCTCGTTTCTTTCTACACACCAGCAGCCCACACGAATGTAGGGAACGTGTTACTTGATTTCCGAGGTGAGCTCGCAGCCCTTAACCAGCAGCTCTTCATGCAACTATCGTCGCGACTCTCACGATACATGGTGCCGTCGTACCTGATCCCTCTGGGCACTATACCTCAGACTCCCAGCGGCAAGGTTGATAAGGTGGTGTTGCGCAGCCTCTTCAACGGACTCACCCGAAATCAACTCAGTCTCGTCTCCAGCAACCAAGGGCCTGAGACCGATGAAGATGAGTGGTCTGACAGCGAAAGACTAGTAGCTGAGGTGATTGCAGAAAGTCTGAACGCACCACGTGACATGGTCTCCCGCTGGCAACCGTTAGCAACGATCGGTCTCGACTCCATCTCGGCCATTTCTGTGGCAAGGTTACTTGGTGACGCGGTCAACCGACGCATCCCAATCTCACACATCCTACAGAACCCCTATGTTGCCCTCTTAGCTCGGCTTGCGACAGAGAACGCGCCAGATGGACGTCTCGTTAAGGACGTGGTGACTGACTCGCCATTTTTTCCCCAAGACATAAGGGAGCTCATTACCACGCAATTCGCTGAACACGAGCACGCTATCCAGGAGGTTCTACCTTGTACACCCTTGCAGGAAGCAATGCTATCAGCTGCTGGTGCTTCCTCGTACTCCAATCAGCTAGTCTTACGACTGGTTGCCTCCTCGCCAGAGATGAAAAGCCACTGGCAAACCTTGATTGATCGCCATGGTATTCTGAGGACGTGCTTCGTCACGACTACGGATGCCCAGTACGCTATTGCCCAGGTAGTCCTGCAAAGATGGGAGGTCCCGCTGAGGACTTTGAGGCACTCGAGCCTTGAAGACGCTGTAGAAAACTGTAGAAGACGAGTTCCTTTCGCTCTCGACTCACAACAACCGCCCTATGGCTTAGATCTCCTCGATATCGACAACACCTTTTTCTTGGTCTTCACCTGCCACCATGCACTTTATGACGGAGAGTCCATGAACGTTCTTCTTCAGGAGATAGAGCAGCTTGTTCGAGGAGAGGGCTTGCCACCGCCCATACCATACATGCCCGTGATACGACAGATGCTGTCACAACAACGAAGCAGCGAAGGCTTTTGGAAAGAAATGTTTAACGGATTCGTCGGAGGTAGGCAAGAAGCTTTCATCAGCCGCCAGCAAGCGTTGCCTCTGGGTTTCACGTCAACGCCACCCCAACCTCAAACGTACACTTCGCAGCTCAGGCTAGGCTTAACCGCCTGGCAAAAGGTTGCCCGGGACACCAACACATCAATATTAGCTCTTGGACAGGCTACCTGGGCCATCTTGCTTGGTATCGTGTCTGATCAGGATGACGTGTGCTTTGGAAACGTCATGAGTGGCCGCACTCTGCCTGTGAGCGGTATTGAACGACTGGTTGCGCCATGCTTTAACACGGTGCCCATTCGCATCGGAACCATCCGACGCATGCAGGTGACGGAGTTGCTAACAAAACTGCATGTGCTCAACTCAAAACTCCTCGATCACCAGTTCACCTCTTTACGGTCTATTCAAAAACTTGTGTCTCGGCCTGGTCGGAGCCTCTTCGACACTATGCTTCTGTTGCAACCCCCCAAGAAAGAGCTCGACAGCGCGATCTGGGAGGTTGCTGAGGATACCGGAGGCATGGATGTGAGGATTGTCTATAAGGTTGTTGTGATCTGGACTAACAAAAGTCACAGGTTCCGCTGCTTTGTGAGTTGATTCCAAATGCACACACCGATAGCGTAGAGTTGAGTCTCCACACCAATAGGTGAGTTACTTATCTCCTTGACTGTCGTTCGCTGTACTGACCAGCCAAGTGCCACGTTGGATCCTTGCATAGCATCATCAATGTCACAAGCTTTCTCGTACATCCTCTGCCACATTGCACGACATCATGCTACTGTTGTTCCCACCAAAGACGACCTGCCAGAAGATATTCGCAGCAGCATAGCAAACGCGTCCCACGAGTCGCCCCAAAACAACCTCGACCAACAAGAAAGTGGCGTCTCTGGTACAATCCACTCTGCAACTGTGCATGAAGAGCCTTGGAGCGAGCTGGAGAAAATCGTCCGCGACATCCTTTCAAAGCTCTCAGGCGTGCCACTGAGCCAAATCGGCCTCCAGACAACCATATTCCAGCTTGGTCTGGACAGTATCAACGCTGTTCAGATCGCCGCCCTCCTGAGAAATCAGAATCACACTGTCTCGACTTTTGACGTTGTCGACTGTCCTTCTTGCGCAAGCCTTGCTCAGCGAATCGCTCATCGAGTCGGGGATCAAAGCCAAGTACCCTTGATGTATGACGTGAATGCATTCCAACAAACAATCGCGTCGACCGTTGCGGTCCAGCTTCACACGGAACCGGAGGCAGTTTTCCCATGCACTCCGGTGCAATGTGGCATGCTGAAGGACTTTATCGAATCTGACGGGGTCGATTATCTCAATTACCTGGCGTTAGAACTCGACCAACATCTCAGCCCTGAAGAGGTGGAGAACGCCTGGAGAAAGCTTGTTCAAGCTCACACGATTTTGCGCACTGGGTTCGTGCCCGCAAACCATGCCGATGCTCCCTTTGCTATGGTGCAGCATTCCTTTGCAGCACATCTTGTGGCCAAGAGCGTGAAATTTTCGGACACGACTTTCGATGCGCAGGTTTGGAAGGCCCAAAGCTCTCAACAAGTGCTCAATGCCTTGGAACAACCGCCGTGGCGGGTAGCTCTGGCAACGCAAGGCGGCACAACGATATTGCATCTACTAATACACCATGCGCTGTATGATGCCTATTCTCTTCGCAGGCTGTTGGGAGATTTTGGTTCCATCTTGAATGGCTCTTCACCTCCAACCCCGACTGGCTCTACCCGAGACGTGGTTTCTGCAATCCTTGGATCTGCCCTGGCAAACGAGTCGTCGAAAGCTTTCTGGCAAGCAAAGTCATCTCAAACCATCATCAATAGGTTCCCAACAATGACTCCTCTGATTGAACCATCCTCGGCCACATACACGGAGACGTGCCGTTCGCGACTAGATTTTGCCACACTTCAAAGCCGAGCCAGCAGGGCCGACGTAACAATACAGGCCCTGCTCCAGGCTGCGTGGACTCGACTGCTCTCTGCCTATGTTGGCGAGCAAACGCTTGTATTTGGAGTTGTGCTTTCGGGCCGCACTTTACCAATGACAGATGATGCAGTGTTCCCATGCATCACAACAGTACCCGTCATCTCTCACAACCGAGCGTCCAACACAGAGCTTCTGTCTCAAATGATGCAATATAGCATCGAATTATCGGCCCACCAGCATGCACCTCTTTCTCAAATACAGCAATGGCTCGGTCACCCAGGCACCCCCCTATTTGACACTCTGGTCGTGTATCAGAAGACTGCAAACGGCCCGTCACCGGCCCAGAAGCTGCCGTGGCGTCAGCTCAGTGACGAGGGTAAGCTTGACTACGCTGTCTCCTTGGAGATCGAGCCGTCAAACGACGGGTATATCAGTCTCCATCTATCGTCTCATACAGGTGTACTTCCGCGGGAACAGGCGTCAATTTCCCTACGTCAATTCGATGCCATTCTAGCTGATCTTGCTACCAACCCACAAGGCCAAGAAGCTGAAATCTGGCATGATGATGCTGAATTGACATCTATTCTGCCGCCGCGCGACATTGAGATATACTCTGAGGTCGCATTTCTTCACCATTTTGTCGAAGAGACGGCTAAAAAATACCCTGACAGGACTGCTCTCGAATTCGTTACTGCCTTTACTGGGGAAAGCCCGGAGAGTCACAGCGTCACCTTTAAAGAGCTGGATGAGATGGGCAATCGCGTCGCCAACACATTGGCTCAACATGTTGCCAGGCGCGGTATCGTTGCGGTGCACTTTGACAAGTGCCCAGAAGCCTTTTTCGCCATCTTGGGCATCTTGAAAGCAGGCTGTTCGTTCCTAGCGCTTGACCCCTCGGCTCCGAAGGCGAGGAAAGAATTCGTCCTCAGAGACTCAGGAGCCGTAGCACTCTTGGCCCGCGATGCTCTGGACTTTCAGCCGGCGCAAATTGTCGTCGACATCAAAGAGAGCAAGCTCTACGCTGCCAGCGCAGAACCCTGCCAATTGGGCCACGATTTGTCAAAGGATGACACTTGCTACTGCCTCTACACTTCGGGAACAACGGGTACACCGAAAGGTTGTGAGATAACGCATGAGAATGCAGTCCAAGCAATGAGGGCGTTCCAGCGTCTATTTTCTGGTCATTGGGACGAAGAATCGAGGTGGCTGCAATTCGCTTCGTTCCATTTCGATGTGTCTGTTTTGGAGCAATATTGGAGTTGGTCAGTCGCCATGCCCTTGGTCGTTGTTCCTCGAGATATCATTCTCGACGACATTGCGGCGACGATACGACGCCTTCGCATCACACATTTGGATCTCACGCCTAGCCTTGCTCGACTTCTCGACCCGAAGGATGTCCCAACACTCTGCAGGGGCGTCTTCATCACGGGTGGCGAGGCGCTGAAACAGGAGATTCTCGACACCTGGGGCCCTCGGGGAGTCATCTACAACGCATATGGCCCCACAGAGGCCACGATTGGCGTAACCATGTATCAGCGCGTGCCACAGAATGGTCGCGCATCCAACATTGGGCGCCAGTTCGACAATGTTGGCACCTACGTCTTTGAGCCTGGAACTGAAAAGCCGGTCTTGAGAGGTGCCGTTGGTGAACTTTGCATTTCCGGAAAGTTGGTCGGCAAGGGCTACCTTAACCGCCCGGAGCTCACTGCCGAACGCTTCCCAGTCCTTGAGCATTTTCAGGAGAAGATCTACCGCACAGGAGATCTAGTTCGGGTCATGTATGACGGGTGCTTCGAGTTCCTTGGTCGTGCTGATGACCAGGTCAAGCTACGCGGACAGCGTCTGGAGATTGGAGAGATCAACCACGCCATCCGCACAGGTGTTGCCGCAGTCAAAGACGTCGTCACTCTTGTAACCAAGCATCCAAAAGTGGACAAAGATCTTCTGGTGACCTTCGTCACATCAAGCGAAGCAGCAACATCAATTGGCGAACTTCATGTGCTGGCGGAGGGAAACCTTCAAGCTCAGACAGGCAGTTCTGAAGGCATGCCGTCACAGACTCCCTGGCTACATGGTGCCGTCCTACGTCCTCGAGGTTCCTTTCATTCCTCTTTCCATCAATAACAAGGCGGAATTGAAGATCCTGCGGCACCTATTCTCCTCGTTGACACCGGAACTACTGCTGCACGTCTCTGCCCCTGCTCCCTCACAGGAAGCCCTAGCTACTACAAAGACTCAGAAGATGGTGCTGAGAGCTGTGTCAGAGTTCTCTGGCGTTTCTGCTAGCGAGCTTTCTTTGAACAGTAACCTGTTCGACCTCGGTATCGATTCGATCTCGTGTCTTCGACTCTCACGACTTTTAAAACACGACGGTCTGCGCACTGCAGGCCCGGCGTTGATACTCAAGAACCCGTTCCTCGGCGACCTCGCCGAAGCCCTCAATGAACCTTATGACCACGAGTTTCTGAGCGCCGTTAGGGAAGCTCGACAGCAGATTCATGCGTTTAGCCACCGCTTCAGACACGAGGTTCGGCAGAAACTCTTACTTCCAGCAGGGGTTTCTGTTGACTACATTGCCCCGTGCACTCCTCTGCAGGAAGGCATGCTGTCTCGGACATTTACACAAAGAGAAGAGTCGTACTTTGTTTCATTCCAACTCAAACTGAGTGATAACCTCATGGCAAGCAGGTTGCAAGAGTCTTGGGATAAGCTCGTTGCCCTACATCCGATTCTGCGGACTCGATTTGTTCCAACCTCGGGAGGGTTCGCTCAAGTGGCTCTTTCCCCCACGCAGATTCCGTGGAAAAGTCACACAGTCGACCAAAATGGAGTTAAGCTGCTCCTCCAGGATGCGCGCTCGTCCTGGATCAAGAATAACCAAGACAGCATCTTGGAGCCGATGGAATGCCTCCTAGTCAATTCCGAAGGAAATAGACTGCTGGTAGTGCACATTTTCCATGCTCTTTACGACGGAATCAGTTTCGAGTCCATGTTGCAGTGGCTAGCTGATGATATATCGCTGAAGTCTCATGCTCAGCGACCGGCTTTCTTGGACACCCTGTCATATGGGCCTCTGCAAAACTTCGACCACAGCCGGTCCTTCTGGTCAGAGCATCTCAGCTCATGCACTTTTGAGCCTCTGCCACGGACAGTTGCCGATGAAGCACCAGGTCTTCGCTCCGCCCGTCGGCTTTACAACGTTGAGAGACTCAGGGAGACAAGCCAAGCACTGAACATCACCTTACAGTCCGCTGTCTTGTCCTTATGGTCTGGCACCTTTGGCAAATACTTCTCTCCAAAAGCTGCGATGGGAGTCATCGTTTCAGGGCGCGCTCTTGACACAGAAAATGTTGAGGATGTGATAGGGCCCCTTTTCAACACCTTGCCTTTCTACCCAGACGTCGCCACGAACAATACGCTACAGAAGCTGGCGCAGAGGTGCCATGACTTCAACGTTTCAACCTTGCCCTTTCAGCACACGGCGTTGCGAAACATCCAGAAATGGTGCAGCGGAGGTCATCCTATTTTCGACAATCTTTTCGTCTACCAAAACGACGTGCCTTCGGCCAATAACGCGGAGCCATTCTGGACGGTAGAAGACAGCTTCATGGCCAACGACTACCCGCTCGCCTTTGAGGCGACTGCCAAGGGAGATGCTGACCTTCAGGTCCAAATTGTTGTCCGCCAAGACGTGGCAACTGAGGCTGACATCCAACGAATCTTGGAAGACTTTGAAGAGGCGATGTTTGCTTTGTCTACCGGAAGAGCGGGCACGTTGCGCAACCAAGCATTTGCACTGACCTCTCAAGAAAGCTCAGCGGGCGCTTCACCATTGACTACTCGAAGCGCTAGCACCGATTCCGCGGGACATTCAACAGACGTCAGCGCTCCGGAGTTCACCGTATCAAACTTTGGGTGGACAGAGGCAACACTCGCGATTAGGCTCGAGATATCGAAGTTGGCCCAAATCCCGGTCGAAAGCGTCTCCGAGTGCAACTCATTGCTTGAATTGGGCTTGGACAGCATTGACATAGTCAGCCTGTCAACTAGGCTCAAGCAAAAAGGTATCGACATTTCCATGTCTCAACTGTTACGAGCCCAAACCATCGAGAGCATGGAGAAGGTTATAGGACGTCAGTTGCTGAGCGACAGAGGAGAAAAGTCAGACTCAACATTCAATGCACTGTTGCTGCAGCTTCGCGAAGCAGTCGTAGCAACTGGGTACGACATGGAAACGGTCGACCACGTTCTGCCGCCAACGCCCCTTCAAGAATCCATGGTAGCCGACATGATAGACTCAGAATTTGAGCGATACTTCAACCACGACGTGATGGAAATTTCCAAGGGTACTATCGTGGAGTCACTAGTAGACGCTTGGCTCGAGGTTATCTCACAGTCACCAATACTGCGAACGGTCTTCTTACAAGTCGACGACCCACGGCTCGAACAGACATTTTGCCAGATTGTTCTGGCTCACCACTTGCCCTCTATCCAACACATCCAGGTCCAAGGCGAACAAGAAATCGAGGGAATCTGTGCAGCACATCGCCAAAATGCAAGGAAAGCAAGGGGTGCTTCACAATTGCTCCAGTTGACGATCGCGCACGTCGGTGATCGGAGTTATGTCGTTTTCAGCATTGCCCACGCTCTTTACGATGGATGGTCATTGGCTCTTCTTCATCACGACGTCGATTCGGCTTACCACAATATGCTGGAGCAACGCGCGTCTCCACGAAATATGTTGCAGAGCTTGCTGCAGTCACCGACTGACAAAAGCCAACGATTCTGGTCCCAATATCTAGCTGGTGCTCCCCCTTCACTTTTTCCAGAGAGTACGACGACCCCCACCGGCTCTGTACATCATGATGAGTCCATGTCAAGCTTGAGTTCTGGAGAAGTCTTGGCATTCTGCAAAAGAAACTCGATCACCTTGCAAGTCCTTGGTCAAGCCTGTTGGTCAACTGTTCTTGCCACACGAGTCAATGCTCTGGATGTTTCATTCGGTGTTGTCCTGTCTGGGCGCGACACAGAGGAGGCCCAGAAGCTCATGTTCCCTACGATGAATACCGTAGCGCTTCGGTGCGTTCTTCACGGCTCGGCCAGGTCATTCTTGCGTTACCTTCAGGACACCATGTCGGACATTTATGAATACCAAACGTTCCCGCTCCGGAAAGCACAGCTTGCTGGCAAGCAAACACCTGGAGGCCTTTTCAATACACTTTTCCTCCTCCAGCGGCAGCCAGACCTCGGCGAATACCGCACGAAAAAGGACGGGCTTACCAAGTCGGTCCAAACCTTAGCCGCGACTAACTTTGCGGTATGTGTAGAGTTGGAAGCAACAGAGGACCATCTTATTTGGCGCGTTGCTGGCAAAGGTGCGTCCACGTCCGAGTACGATGTCAAGGAGCTTCTGGAGCATCTCGACAAGGCAATGAACCACTTTGTGCAGAGACCAGAGAGCAGCCTCCTACAGTTCGAAGGCGACTGCACTTCAATTTGCAACCTTGGAGCTTTCGTATCCAATTCGCAAACCACAATGCTAGATAGCGGCAAGGGCAATGGAAACGCGATGACCCCCGAGGACCCCGAATCTCAAGTCGAGTCGACCATTCGTCAGATTCTATCAGAGGTTTCCGGAATACCGTACGAGTCCATATCGAGGAACATCACCGCTTACCACCTGGGCCTCGACTCTATCAGTCTTATCAAGGTATCCTCAATACTAAAGAAGAAGGACATCATGCTCGGCGTGCATGCCCTCCTGACGGCGTCGTCTCTCAGTCACATGGCAAAGGTAGCAGGAAATGCTCCAAAGGCACTTTCCGCAGAGGTGCAAGGGGCCTGCTTGATTCCCGACAAGATTAAATTCGAGCAGGTACAGAGCCTGGCAGGTTTTGCAGAATTCCAGGTCGAAGACATTCTGCCGGCGGTGCCAATGCAAGTCTACATGATGACTGCATGGCAAAACTCCCAAGGCCGTGTTTTTTATCCGGCGTTCCGCTATCGATTGGACGAGTCGGTGTCCCTGAATGCTGTACAAAAGGCGTGGGCAGACCTCACAGCGACGGAGACGCTTCTCCGTACTTGTCTCGTTGCAACAGGCGATTGGGACATGCCGTTCCTGCAAATCGTGCTAGCTCCAAGCGTTACAGGACCTCACTCGCAGATCTCGCTTCTCGGCAGTGGCTCGGAAAAAGAAGTGACGGGCGAGTGCTGGCCAAAAGTCAGAATGACCGCGGAACAGCGTGCGGACGGCGCGTGGGAGCTGACTCTCAATATACACCATGCGCTCTACGATGGCATCACCCTCCCCAGCATCCTGAACAAACTGAGACAAAATATCGTCAATTACAGCAAGAAAGATGAACATGAGAACCCTTCGTGTCGGTCATGGAGGTCATTTATTGCCCGCCACCAGTCTCCGGGCATCATCGATGAACGTAAGGCTTTTTGGACGAAATACCTAGCAGATGACGACAATCCTGCACCTCCACCTCCGCAGATGCATGATTCCGTAGGAGACAGAACTGCCTACCTCCGGCGATCCGCCGTCTCGGGCATGGGCACAAAGAGCACTGCATGCGCCAGCAATGGAGTTGGGCTACCAGCACTCATGTTCGCTGCAATTGCACGAAGCCTGCACGCAAGAAGAGTTCCGAGTAGCGAGCCTGTCATATTTGGCATCTACTACAGCAACCGAGCAGAAGAGGACAATCCGTCAACGGAGCTTTACCCAACGCTGAATCTGCTGCCGTTGAAGGTCATGGTCCAAGAGAAGACGGGGCTCATGGAGTTGGCGCAGAACGTTCAACAAGACCTACACCGTATCACATCCTTGACTAACTCGACCGTGGGGCTGTGGGAGATCAAGGAATGGACAGGCGTTGCAGTCGACGTTTTCGTTAATTTTCTCAACCTGCCCAAAGGGCAAGAAACCCCCAACGTTTTCCATGAGGTCGTGGATGATCGTCTCTTCAATGGAGTTGACAGGCCTACCTCACGGGCCAGTCCGGACCCTTCAAACTTTGACGCCCCTTGGTTGAGCAAAAACCCGGTTCGGGGTGCGTTCCCGGTACGTCTGCTTCCAATCCTGAACATGTCTAGTGGCTTACTGATAAAACCAGGCTGCGATGGATATCGAGGCTGCTGTGAACGGGGATGCATTGGACATAGGCGTATTCGGCTCTGTCGCAAGAACGACGATAGAAGAGGCCCAGGCTTTGGTTGATGGCATCGCGGAATGTTTGAGCATGTTCAAAGCGTAGGAGAGAGTATTGGAATAGATTGATATCTTGCCCACAGCACAGTGCTATCGTTGTCACCAGGATGAGCACAAGATTGGTGACGCTTCTGTGCTTAGATGTAAGTGTTATCTGTTGGACGAGGTCAAGTGTGAACGAAAGGTCTGTATTGGGAAGCTATTCTGCTGGGCAGGAGGGTGCCTGAAACTACCTAATCTATGAGAGGCACCAGGGCACAGGCCACCTGGCACCAGGTGAGTTGACCAAGTGAATGGCACCACCAACATTATCAAGTGCAGTGCAGATACTTAGAAGTTGAATTCGAGGGCTCATCGACACGCTTCCTTTCTGACTGACACGATACACGATTCTCGCCTGGAGCCGGCAAAACAAGATTACATCCGGTTGTAAAAGGCTAAGAAACCAGGGCTGCTAGCTCTTCGCAATGCAGTGATTGGGTGGCTTTTCATGCAAAAGCAAAGAGCGAGACGTGCACTCCCTGCGTCCGCGCCGCAAGCACCAAGACCGCAACGTGCTGGAGAAATTTGCGCCGAGTCAAAGTCAGAGCTGTTGGTGGTCTTGTCAGGGGCGGAAGTCCGCCTAACATGTTAGACCATCTCGGTTATCGGCATTGCACGGGGCTTCTATTCTGGCTCCGAGATGAAGTGGCGTCGGCGTAAGGACTTGGAGCGACATGTATGGTCAAATCTCGACAATAAAGGGTGACGAGAGGTAACGTATGGCAGGTATGTGTGCATCGGTCAGATACCTATTGAACTGGCAGATTTGCTGAGTACCCAATTTCTGTATCGGATCTTTCTTGCCTACAACTCGGCTCAAGCCATCCCTTTCATGTGATCCCGACAAGCAAGACGTTCGACATCATGGCCATCATGTCTCTCAGGCTCTTTACCTCAGCCATCTTGCTTGTTGCACCAGTCCTGGCCAAGACAGACCTGGCAGGCTGCACGCATTCCGACTCGGTTGTCACGCCGGCTGGCGGCTCCCCATACGCTACACGGATCTGGTTCGTCGAGGATACCGGCGAGATCTGCGAGTTCCTGGATTGCGGAGGCGGCCGCGCGCCGCCCAAGACGACAGTACCCGGGTGCGGTTCGTATGAGGGCACCGACACTTACAGCCCGCGCTTCCTCGCCCCTAGAACGACATCAATCGCGGTCGCAAGCACGTCTGAGGCCATCCCTGAAGCTCCCAATACCGATGCACCCTCTCTGGAACCGATGCCGAGTGGCTCAGCGGAAGCTGATAGCCTTTCTACTTCTCATATTGTATCGACCGAAGAGGCCCTGGCGTCGACCCAGTCATCAGAGGCATCTCAGGTGCTCTCGGGGCCCCAGACATCTACAGCCATTGTTACGACTGCGACGAAGACTTCAACGTCGGAAACTACCAGCGAAAGCGAAGGAACGGGGGCAAGCAGCCAGGTGTCCGCCACGGAGACGCCCAACGCGGCCAATGCCGGAAACAAGGGGATGATTGGGCTCCTTGCTGGAGCTGCCATGGGCGCAGTCCTGCTGTAAACGAATGATGTCCGCAAGAACCAAAAAATCTCAGGCCAGAGTCTCGTCGAACCTTGCAGAGATCGGAGTGTCCACTGCCAGTGTGCCACGGGTAGCTTTGCCGCTAGATGAAGGACTCGCAATTATCTGTACATGGCAACCACCCAAATTGTAACAGTAATAGATTGACGGCTGTCAAATGATGTTGCCGCTGGTGTATTGAGATGGGCGGGTGACTTGAACTAGATGTGATGACTCAGCATGCGATAAGATCACGGAAGATCCGAAGAACCGGACAGCCGAAAAAAATCCTCGCCTGGCTGAGGTGCCCCATAATCGCAATCATCACTAGGCGAAGATGCTCCGTCACTGTACACGCGCTCCGCAACCGACACCACCCACGGCTTCACCATCACATCACCCTCCTGACGGCTTCTCATCGCTCGTTACTGCTCGACCCATCTCTCAAAGAAAATAACCCCTCGGCATATCACAGCCATGGATCACACACGCGACCCCTGCCCCTGGGTCATCCTCAACGACTTCGGCGGCGCCTTCTGCATGGGAGTATGTCCCCCTTTCTCAAAAACTGCATCTCTACCTGCGATCCTCTGATGCAGGATTGATGCGCCATCCAAATAGTTGTGTTCGCTGCCGTCGTGAAGCCCCGAGACTGACGTGTTTTCTTCCAGGCTATCGGCGGTACGATATGGCACGGCATCAAGGGCTTCCGAAACTCCCCTTACGGTGAGCGGCGTGTTGGTGCCATCACGGCCATCAAGATGCGCGCTCCCGTCCTCGGTGGCAACTTTGGCGTCTTTGGCGGCCTCTTCTCTACGTTTGATTGCGCCGTGAAGGGAATTCGTCAGAAGGAGGATCCCTGGAACGCCATCATCACCGGCTTCTTCACCGGCGGTGCGCTCGCCATCCGTGGTGGCTACAAGTCGGCGAGGAACGGTGCCATTGGTTGCGCTGTGCTCCTCGGTGTCATCGAGGGTGTCGGTATTGGCTTCCAAAAGCTGATGGCCGGAAGCACCAAGCTCGAGGTATTTCCTCTCGTGCTCTTTATCCGCGATTGGCGATGGCTGACTCTTTCCAGATGCCCCAACCTCCTCCCTCCCAGCAGGAAATGTCTCTTGCTTAAACTTGCTTCGAACACATTCACAAACCGAAAGATTTCTTGATTTTCAGCGATTCAGCGTGACGCCGCTGGCTCTGTTATGATACGACGGACCGACCGACGGACCGATCGACCAACCCACTCCTCTCCTCTTCCAGTCTGCCACCCGACCGGGGCTTGACTTTTGTGTTCACCAAACCACGAATCATAATCATCACTTGCATACCAGGCGGAGGGGTTCCATGTACAATATGTAGACAGACCTCTACGGGGGCAAAGGGCGGCAGAAAGCGGTTTGCGGGCCATTTATGGGAGGCCCTGCAGATGGCGCTGGCAGAGAAGTGGCGTCAGGCGCTCGTCTGCGCCGCGCCGTTGGCCACGAGCCGTGCGGCAGTACTCTTCCAAGCTCTCGAGGTGAGCTTGGGAGGGAATAGAACCACCATTACCACACGCTTTTGCTTGTTGCCTTTGCTATTGACCGAATCGCCACAGTTGTTCATCTCAATAGGTACCTTCTACAGCCGAGTCACCGCGCCAGACCTCCGCATGGCTCCTTCCATCGTCGTCAAGCCATGCCCGAAACATGCCGGCACAGTTGTAGTCCTGCAGAACCTCTGATCGCGTCTTGAGGACATCGCCCTGCGGCCCGCGCACAACAGTCAACTCGATCCCGATGATGCCGCCCTGCCCCTCGCCCGTGCGACCCCAACGATCACCTGCGCTCTTCTGCAGCTCACCCCTGGGGCCTGCAATAGCCGACAACGCCTTCGCGCTGGACTCCCGCTTCCACTGTGCACGAGACACCACGGAGTGCAACGCGGCAATTCGCAGAAACGAGTCCCCATTGCCGGTTCCAGACCCAGCGAAAGATCGAGTAACCGTCGTCGAGCCGCCGCTTCGAGTCGGAAGTGGCGTGTACATCAAAGATTGGGGGAGGCAGTCAGCCAACAGTCGCCGGAGCCCCGTCACTGATGCCAACACTGGACCCAAGACTGCCGAGAACGCCCCCGCACGCCCGAGTCTGGACGCGGTCGATCCGTGGCCACCTTCCCCGTC